AAAAAAAAAGAAAAACAATAGTGAAGCTGTATTAAATCTAATTCTTCCATTATTTAATTGGTGGTTACCTTTATATAGTTCAATTGTACTCCCATTCTCCCCTGGCCAGCTCAACCCAGGCATAGTGAAAGCAGATACAGACAAACAAACAGTACTCACTCTAACAGGATTCCATTAACATCCTGGGTGAAGAACTTCTGTCTGCTCTCTCCCTCGGCAGCTCTGGCAGCCTGGTTCACAGCAGACAGTAACAGCTGTTAGTGTACTTTACTCCCACAGCCCTTCCACTCACCTGCACACACAAGAGCCGTGACTCTATAAAGAGCACCTGTTGATAAAATCCTCACCATTACCTTTCCAACTCTGCCCTAATCCCAGATAAAGTTCACCTGTGATCAATACGCTCTTTTTCAAATGCTGCTGCAGCATCTGTAGTCTGTCCTTCCCAGGACTCAAAATAACAGTCTCATAAAGGAAGATCACAAAGTCAAAGCAATCATGATGCATTTGGTCAGAGGCCAATCCGGGCAGCTAACTCCTGTGTGCATGCTGAATCAACTGCACCATGGCTGGAATTTCCACACGTTTATAGTACAAAAGCAATCAAGAACTCCAACAAACCTACAACTTAAAGGCCTGGGGACACTTCATTACTGGTTAATCATGATAATATCAATGTGTGACTTTAGCATTTAAGGACATTATAGTTCTTTGAAAATTCATAATCTACTTACAGTATACCAAAATTCTATTACCCTGACCATTTGAATAATACACCATACTACCTATTAATACAACATTATAGATATTTAATATACAGCATTCATGTGCTTTCCATGAGAACACAACACTCTGGGGAGCAGGCTTAGAGACTCCTAAAGAGAGCAGAAGTCTGAAAAGCAGACCCTGTTAGTCTACACCAGTGGCTCCCATACTCTACATATGGGAACTACTTGGGCAGCTTTTCCTGCCCCAGATCAATCAAATCACAATCTCTGGGGACAAGACTCAGAAATGGGCACTCTCTAAATGTGGGTCAAGCACCAGTACTCCTTTGAAGTAACTCTGGTGATGCTAATAACGCAGTGGGGGCTGGGAACCACTGATCTCAACCCAGCTGCTGGTCTGAAGGCTTCAGATAAAATTTTTGACATCAGATTTACTGTATAATAACAACAGCAAACAAGAGTGGCAAGGTGACTAGAACAAAAAGGACAAATCTTGATCAAACCCTCTGTAACTATAGACTGCTAACCTCCCACTGCACTCCAGCACCTCCTCCTTGCCTTCCTCTCCTTGCATCCTCTAGGATCTCTTTCAGTCTCTCTGCCTCCGTCTTCCTCCACTAGCTCCTTTCCTGTAGATCAGTGGTTCTCAACCTTCCTAATGCCGCAACCCTTTAATACAGTTCCTGTGGGTTGTGACCCACAGGTTGAGAACCACTGCTGTAGATGAACCTCCAAAGTTCTTTCTAAAATCTTCTCGGATCGGCGCCTGTGGCTCAAGTGGCTAAGGCGCCATCCACATACACCTAAGGTGGTGGGTTCGAATCCAGCCCCGCTCGCCAAACAACAATGACAGCTGCAACCAAAAAACAGCCAGGTGTTGTGGCAGGCAGCTGTGGTCCCAGCTACTTGGGAGGCGGAGGCAGGAGACTCGCTTGAGCCCAGGAGTTGGAGGTTGCTGTGAGGTGT